AGCTAATTTTCAGACTTCTCAGTCTGCTGAATTATTATTTTTTAAGGGCCAGTGATTACTTATAGGTTGTTTTTTCCTTTATTTATAAAAACCGACCTCCAATATGTGTCCGTCAAAACAGTACATGCAATTTGAATTCATGCATGCTAAAAAGTTTCAGAATGGGCATTCGAAAGGGGCAAAATGAAAGGGAAGAGGGAGAAGGGGGAACGTGGCTGACCAAGAAGAATCACATTTCAAGTTCTAGTCTTCCAGGCCTGAGATGCATGAGGAATCTGTCTGCCAAACTTCCTTTTCTGCAAGGATCCTCCTCCCGGCCTCCTCAATCTCCTAGGTCAGCTCAAATCCTAGCTCTTGCCTAAAGCCTTCCCCTAAACTGCTAATAAAAAAAACAAAAAAACCACTACTTTTCCATATTCTGATAACGCTTATAGTCCAATTGCTCATTTGAAACTTAATCAGGGTTGGCTTTGCATTTTCATTTAACTGTGTTTTCCATGGTGGTAACTATCAAGGTCACAAGGCCTAAGGGCCACATTTCTTTTTCTTTTTTTTGAGACAGAGTCTCACTGTGTCGCCAGGCACCAGGCTGGAGTGCAGTGGCACCATCTTGGCTCACTACAACCTCCGCCTCCTGGGTTCAAGCAATTCTCCTGCCTCAGCCTCCCGAGTAGCTGGGACTACAGGCGTGTGCCACCACACCCAGCTAATTTTTGTATTTTTATGGAGACGCAGTTTCACCATGTTGGCCAGGATGGTGTCGATCTCTTGACCTCGTGATCCGCCCTCCTCATCCTCCTAAAGTGCTGGGATTACAGGCTTGGGCCATGGGATACAGGCCTGGGATACAGGCCATGGCGCCCGGCCCCCACATTTCTTTTTATCCCTTTGTCACAGATAGTGCTGTGCATGTAGAAGTTACTTGGTAAAACTTGATCTATGAATAAGTAGTTGAAAAATAATTGAATTTGGAATAATTCAGGGACTAAGTAGATTAGGATGGTATAAATAACAACTGACATTTTTAAAAGTACTTTAGGCTGGGTGGGGTGGCTCTTGCCTGTGATCCCAGCACTTTGGGAGGCCGAGGCGGGTGGATCACTTGAGGTCAGGAGTTCGAGACCAGCCTGGACAAGGTGGTGAAACCCCAACTTACTAAAAGTACAAAAATTAGCCGGCATGGTAGCAGGCGCCTGTAATCCCAGCTACTCAGGAGACTGAGGAAGAATAGTTTGAAGCCGGGAGGCGGAGGTTGCAGTGAGCCGAGATCACGCCACTGCACTCCAGCCTGGGTGACAAAAAAAAAAAAAAAAAAAGTACCTTAAAGACTGTAAAAGGTTCTCAGGCAGTCTCATTTGTACCTCACCATAACCTACAGAGAAAACTGGCTCCGAGAGGGTAAGTAACTTGCTCTTGAAACCCAGATCCTCTTACTCAAAAGCTCGTATTACTCCATAATAGTTGACTTCAAGTACGGATGTGAGATTAAATCTGGACACTATTTCCTACCATTAAACATCCTCACCAGCAGAGGGCGCAAGAACATGCATGGGTCTTGGAGTCAGATAGATTTGCATACTGGCCCGGCCCAGCCCAGCCAGAGTTAGATGATTTGGGGCAAATTATTTAATTTTTCTGAGGCTTGTCTGTAAAATATCGATGATAATGCTCTCACCACCACCACTGGGTGGTCATAAAGATTATAAATACTCTGTGGCTGGCATACAGTAGGTGAACAATAAACCATATCTCGTGATTCCCATAAGGGTGTCACAGAAGCAGTTTGGAGGTTAAATAGACATTGATTCTTGTTTGATGCTTTAATAAATAATATTTGAAATTAGTTTCACACTTAAAGTAGACAAAAGGCTATAGAAAATGGGCAAATAAATGGATATCGATGGAAATTTTCTGTTTTTTTTTAATCGATGTATCATAGTTGTACATATTTTGGGGGGTGATAGAAAGATTTCAATACACAGAAAAAATAAGAAAGCGGACTGAACAACCTTTATGGATGAAAACCTTAAACACATGATATGCCATTTGTCCCAGCATTTATTTAACCTAAGAAAATAATATTGAGTGGTGACAAGATTTTGAAAAACAAAGGATGTCATCATCACTTTATAAGAGCAAAAGTGGAAACAACAAGCTTATTAAATGCACAGGTTTAAAAGCTTACAGTCTCTCTATCAAATTGAGCACTATGTAGTCATTAAAATAAAAATTCTTCCATGTAGAAAAATATTCTGCATGGAAAGATGATCACAACACAGCTGGCAAAAATCACAAGAGACAAGCAATCCAATTTCACTTTTGTTTAAAAACATGCCCAAAGCCGGGCATGGCAGCTCATGCCTACAAGCCCAGTGCTTTGGGAGGCTGCCATGGGAGGACTGCTTGAGGCTGGAAGTTCCAGACCAGCCTGGTGAGCTGGTCTTACGTAGTGAGACTTCATCTCTACATTTTTTTTTTTTTTTTAATTAGCCAGGTGTGGTGGTGTGCTTGTAGTCCCAGCTATTCAGGAGGCTGAGGCGGAGGGAATCCCTGCAGTCCAGGAGTTGAGTCTACAGTGAGTTATGATCACACCACTGCACTCCAGCCTAAGCGACAGGCTAAAAAAACATATATATACAATATATGAAAATACAAAACAAAGCAAAATTTAAGTTTTTGTTATTTCCACAGCAGATTGTGACACGCCCCACCTTTTTTTTTTTTTGTTCTGAAGTAAACATTTATCACTTTTGAATGAAGAAAAACATATTTTACTTTTACAGGAGCACTGTCGGAGTCTTTCACTTAACAATGCCCCCCCCTTAAGCCGGGCGCGGTGGCTCAAGCCTGTAATCCCAGCACTTTGGGAGGCCGAGGCGGGTGGATCACGAGGTCAAGAGATTGAGACCATCCTGGTCAACATGGTGAAACCCCGTCTCTACTAAAAATACAAAACATTAGCTGGGCATGGTGGCGCGTGCCTTTAATCCCAGCTACTCAGGAAGTTGAGGCAGGAGAATTGCCTGAACCCAGGAGGCGGAGGTTGCGGTGAGCCGAGATCGCGCCATTGCACTCCAGCCTGGGTAACATGAGTGAAACTCCGTCTCAAAAAAAAAAAAAACAAAAAAAAAACCTCAAAAAACAATGCCTCCCCAACCAGGCCAGTGGTCATGTAAATTAAGTCAATTGTCATAAAAGGGCTTGGAAGTTTCAAGGTAGTCAAAATAATTAAAATCTTGGTGAAATTTCACAGAGCTGGCCATTGAGCTTTGGAGCTTTGACTCAGCTGATATGAGGCTTCTGTAAACAGACACCAGGCTCCGTGTTTCCAAAAGACCTAAAAACAGCACAAAATATAACAATTGTTCATATAAAGGGCCACGTGCCGTCTCTGTCCTGAGCAAATGTAACCTGAAACCCTCTGTCTGGCACTCTGGGTTGGCGGCATCTCTCTGGACAGGGTGTATTTGCTCTCCATTACTCAATTTACTTTCCTGAAGTTGAAATGGAGTGGAATTTCAATGTAGAGTTACCCATTAGCTCCAGGGCTAAATTTAAACCTTTAATTAAATTAATACGTTGATCTTAAACACATTGCTTCTCCCTCAGAAAAGTGTAGCAGGTTTCTTAGGTGTCACAGAGCTTAATTCAGTGTGGCAATTGTTCCTTACTGCATTTGATAAGTCGTCCATACCGCCTGGGGAAACCCGCACAGGTTTTCAGATCCCTCCTGAAGAACCCCTCCATCCCGTCCCCACCCCCTGCTCCCGCCCTCAACCAAAACAAGCATTCATTGTGAGTAACCACTGCGGCTCCTCCCAGATTCAGAGCTATTGCTCCGGAAGGGTCGTCAGGAACGCCGTATTTATAGAAGACAGGGTAGGTGCCAAACGTGTGCTTATGAAATAAACGATAGGGTAACTGTCCATACTGGTCCCAGTTTATGCGGGAGAAGAAGAGATAATAATCTACAAAAATTTGCAAGGTGACTAGGAAAAGAGTGTAAGGTCGTTTTCGTCCACCTCGGTCTTCACAGAAAATGGAGCATATTTCAAAGCCAAAGTAAAAAATTTGCGTTGGCCTTTGCTAAGACAGAGATGAAACGCGACAATACCATGGATTGGGGATGTGTGAGTTCGTTGGCCACATGGAAGATGTTCGTGCTTCTGGGCGCTTATGCACCCCAAGGCGTGCATTTATCTCGGGGGCTGCATCCTTGGCCTGGGAATGAATGAGACCCAACCCCAATGGTTGTTAGCGACAGCTTTATGCTGGGACAGTCTCCTTAGGGGCTGTGGACCTACTCCTGTTACTATGCATGAGGACCTATTTACTTCTTGGGGACCAACGGCCACGCGGGGTCCAAGTAACTCGCTCGCGGTCCAAAACTCTACAACGCTCCACACAACTGTCCTGCAGACCCACAACTCTCCCGGGAGCACAGCCCCAGACCCTAGCCCACCGAGTTCGGCTCGCTCCCCGAATTCCCAGTGCGAGCGCGCAGGGAAACGTGCTCGCCTCCCGCACTTGGCTTTCGCGCACTCCGGGAGTCGCAGGCAACTCGGACATCCCGGACAGCCCGGCCGATCCCCCGCCCCGCCACCCGCTCGGCTCTCCGGTCCTCCTCTTCCTCCTCCCGCGGCTCCTCGCCTCCAGCCGCCTGCCTCCGCGGCCGCCGCCTGCGGCTTTGTTTTCCTCCCAGGTCGCATTCCCCACACGTGATTCCGTGTTATTGCAATGAGCGCTCCGGAGCGCGAGCGCGGGGCGCGCGCACCTATAAATACGGACACCCGGCCCCGGAGCCCGCGAGCCAGCGGCCAGGCGACCGGCGGGTGGCCAGCCAGCGAGTCGAACCAGCGAGCCAGCGAGGCGCGCGCGTGGGCCGGGGCGGCGGCGCCCCCCGCTCGAGCACCGAGGGGCGAGCATGGCCCGCCCGCGGGGGGGCTGGACCGCCGCGCACGCCGCCCGATCCCCGCGCCCTGCCCAGCCTGGGTCGCCGCCGCTCGCGCCCGCTGCTTAGCGTTGGGGCGCCGCTCGCTTCTCCGGGCATCGCGGAAATCCCGCCGCAGACGGACACAATGGCGGCAGCGGCCGCCACCACGGCCGCCTGCAGCGGCGGCAGCAGCGCCGGCACCGACGCCGCGGGCACCAGCGGATTGCAGCAGCCGCCGCAGCCCCAGTCCACGGCCGCCGCGCCGGCCCAGCCGCCGCCCGACCCCCCCCGGAAGCCGCGCGTGGACCCACGGCGCCGCCAGGCTGCCCTCTCCTTCCTTACCAACATCTCGCTGGACGGCCGGCCGCCGCCGCAGGACGCGGAGTGGGGCGGCGGCGAGGAGGGCGGCGCGGCCAAGCTGGGCGCCGGCGGCGCCTGCGGCGCGAGGACTCGGCTCAGCCTACTTGCCGCCGCGGAGCGGGGCGGCTGCAGCGCGCTCGCCGCGCTGGGCACGCAGACCACGGGGTTGGTTGCTGGGTCTGGCCCCTGCCTCCCGCAGCCTTCGTCGCTGCCGCCCTGGATCCCCGGCGGCCACGCGACCGTGCCCGGCCCCGGGGTGGCACGGGGGTTCGGGAGCCCTCTGGGCGCCGGCCGGACGTCGGGGGAGCAGTGGCAGCTGCCCCGGTCGGCGCCTTTCGCTGCCAGTGCTCAACAGCAGCTGCTGGACGGGCCCGGGGGCGCCTGGCAGGAGGAGTTGGAGGAGGACGATGCCTTTACCAGCGTGCAGGTGCCAGCGACCGCCTTCTTGGGCTCCGGGACCCCCGGGAGTGGGAGCGGCAGTCGGAGCCGCCTCAACTCGTTCACTCAGGGAATCCTGCCCATCGCCTTCTCCAGGCCGACTTCGCAAACCTACTGCTCCCTGGAGCAGCCAGGCCAGGGCGGCAGCACTAGCGCCTTCGAGCAGCTGCAGAGGTCCCGGTGAGTATCCGGGATGCGACGCTAACCCAGCCCTGCGTCCCTCCCCGCGCCCGGCGCGCTCAGCCTCCCCGCGGACTGTGGGCTGGGGGACACGGGCTGCCCGCATTTTCCCGCGTCCTGACGGATCCTGTGCTCCGGGCCCGAATCTCAAACCGCGAGGGCACCCGAAAGAGGGGCGTCCCCAGGGAGTGAGTGGTCACACGTGTGTGCACGAGCCCAGCGCTCGCAAAGGAACCCCTGCTCGTGCAGTGGGACGGGAGTTGGGAGTTGGGAGTTGCAGGAGCCCAGTAAAAAGCGCCGTCTGAGCCTCTCTACAGGAGGTCACAAACTTCCTGAAACGCGGTCCAGACCCTAAGGCGCACTCTCCCCGCGCTGGGCGAGACTCGGCCGGGCGCAGAGTGGAGCAGTGCAGGCCGGCAGCTGAGCGGCGCGTGTGAACCTAACCTTGTAGCAGACAGGCATGACCCTCCGCAGAAGTTCCTGTCTGACCTCCAAGTCTTCCTGCGGCCCGGGGAAACTTGGCTTTTTCCGTTTGCTCTCCTGAGCAGTGAAAGACCTTTTTACATCCCCTTGAACTAGGCCTAGGGGGTGGGGAACAAGGAGGAAATAGGGCTTCAAGGTTTTTTTGTTTTTGTTTTTTTCGTATTCCAAGATGTTCGTTAAACGCTTGTTGTACTTGTCTATTAGTTGAAGTTATCTGGCGATATTAGGCATCTTAGCAAAAACGTGAAATGCTGGACGTTTGCTTACTGTTCAGGAAATAGCTAGAGTTTGTCACCGTTTGTTCCAAGGGGGCAGTCGGAGGTTGGGACTGTGTGAACTGAAGCTTGTAAAAGAACCACGCGGGCGCAGGTGGGGAAATGCAGATCTGTTCCTTGGGCGTGCCCTCCCTTGTTGGTTAATAAGGCCTCTTGTGAAGTTAGCAATGGCATAGACTCTACCTTGGCAAAGTTGTTTTAACTTCCTGCGGCCTCAGTTACCCCTTTTGGGATGCTGCAGGCACCGAGATGGGAAGGAATAACTTTCTCTGTTAGAGATTCTATCATAGTTATCTGAAAGGTCGATCTGGCCCAAGAAAGAAGATGCCTATGGGAAAACTTTTCCTCCCACAGTGGACGAATGGGGAAGAACAGGCCGGCCTCATCCAGAAGTTTGCTCCTAGTGTACTTCTTCCTAAGTGGGTGAAATCATGAGGGTGCTAATTATGTAGCCTTGCTGTTTGAGTGCACATGGCCCGCAGGGGTGTGGCGCTGGGGAAGCAGCCTCATGATTGCATGGATGAATAAGCAACACTGGGCACAGGTGGCAGCCCCACTCCAGTGTTTCTTGTCAGAGCATGCGTCTCCCCAGCAGCAGGTGAGTGCAGGGAGTTGGAATCCCTTGTTTCTGGGTGAGTCCTGCAGACTCAGCCGTTTCTGGGCAGCTCGGTATTACCACTTGACGTCACACACTAGCTCATGATGACTCCAGACTTGCAACCTAAACCCAGCAGTCAAGAGGGTTATGACAGGAATTGTAATAAACATACATGTTATTCTAAGCCAGTGTGCAAAGCTGGCTTGTGTCTCCTGATGGACAGATGTGTTCTCCATGCTAAAGGCAGCTGGAGATCAGATTACCTTGCACTCTTTCTCCCAAGAAATTAATTTCAAGGGATATGGAGGATCTTGTGTGTTCACATTTCTGAGCCAAAGAATATCCGGAACTCCACCTCCAATCCTATAAATATGAACTTTTTAGGCGTTTTATTGATCCTCTCCACCTTGACACACACATTAAGATGAGTTAATCACTGGAAGATGCTTCTTTATCTGACAGTCACTTTCATCTGACTATTTCTGAATAATCCAATCTGGCAACCTGATAGGCTTTTATAAAGTTACAGCTGTGAATAGAAACAGCAGAAAATTTGGGTACAGAGGGGAAAAATAGGTTAAACTGATTTAAGAAAAGCGGAAAGGGTAGCTTAGCTGTGGAGCAGCAACAGACTTGAAATATCCCAGGACGCTTCCTTTCCAACAGCGAGCCACTTGTCTCTCATTCGAGTACTTCCACCTGCCACGCCAAAGTGTGGTGAGAGCACAAACTCACTTGAATAAGGCCCGGGGCCAGCTGTTCTGGTTTCCATTTGTGGAAACCTTTCCTGGTGTGCTTCCCTGCTAGCCTGTGTGTTTCTATGTACGTATTATTTCGTGGATGTTCTCTTGGGATGTTTTCACATCAAATTGTGTTTTCCTTGGATTCATTTCTTGCCATTAGAGGAATTCCATAGCACCTTGCTGCTCCAAAGTGTGGTGTTCGCACCTTTGGCTTCACTGGAAGCAGTTAGAAATTCAGACTCTTGCCCTACTCCAGACTACGTAAGTCCAGATCGGCATTTTAACAAGATCCTCAGATGATTTGTATACAAATTAAAGTTCAAGAAGCATTGCCACGATGCATCTGAAATCTGCCCTTTTTAAAAACTAAATTTGAGGTTTTATATATTGGGTTTGTTTGGGGTGTATAAAAATTAGAATGTTGGGCTGGGTGCAGTGGCTCACGCCTGTAATCTTAGCACTTTGGGAGGCCGAGGCTGGCAGATCACCTGAGGTCAGGAGTTCAAGACGAGCCTGGCCAACATGGTGAAACCCATCTCTACTAAAAATATGAAAAGTTAACCAGGCATGGTGGCGGGCACCTGTAATCCCAGCTACTCGGGAGGCTGAGGCAGGAGAATCACTTGAATCCAGGAGGTGGAGGTTGCAGAGAGCCAAGATCGCACCACTGGACTCTAGCCTGGGCAACAAGCGTGAAACTCCATCTCAAAAAGAAAAAAAAAAAAATTGGACTGTCTCCCAATCTGCAATCTTAAAACCATGTCTTTTTGGCTGCTTTCATCAGAACACTTCTAAAACCAATCACAAATAATTGCTTGGACTTAAAAAAAAAAAAAAAAAAATTGGACTGTCTCCCAATCTGCAATCTTAAAACCATGTCTTTTTGGCTGCTTTCATCAGAACACTTCTAAAACCAATCACAAATAATTGCTTGGACTTCCAAACTTTGTAACACACAGAGAGGAAAATTTCTGTGCACAGGCCTTGGCACGAGAAGGTGTACAGTAATGCCTGTGGATGTGATGATTGCACCATCTCTGTTCACTGCACGTGGATTTTTGACATCTATTGTATTTAACCCTCACAACCACCCTGAGTGTAGATTCTTTCACAGGTGAGGAGACAAAGGCTCAAGAGAGGTTGAATAATGTCTCAGACTGGCCAGCTACTGAGAGGCACATATGATAATCTGACCCAGTTGGGCCAGGATAGGAACCTGGATCATTGATGTCCACGCTCTGCCACTCTACCATGTCTCTATGCCTTGCACACAATAGGCCCATAGATAATTTTTGAGCTCTTGGCTGTAAATGTTTGTCTGTTATATGACAGGCCAGTCATACTGGTATAATTCAACACCCCCTTTTTATTTTTTACCCCCCAATCCCTCCCCTTTGTTATTCCCCCAAATTTAGCCTCTTTGTTTGGACCCCCTAGCTTTGCTGCTATTTCTCAGTCTCTATTCTTTTGGGGTGTCCAGGAAACCCAGGACGGTGGGCCCGGAATCCTCCTATCCTTACGGATAGGACTCTAACCCCGAGAAGCCAGCAGGCTGGGTTTGTGTTCAGGCTGCGGTGTCAGAGGTGGGAAGCCAAAAAGATGCCTCTTGGCTTCATGCCCTATGGTATTTCTCTGCTCCAGCAGTGAATGCTGCTGCATCAGGAAGGTGTTAATAGGTGAAAGGGAGTGTGAATTTATAAGGTGTGCATTAAGGCTTCCTTTCACTTTAAAAACTTCCTTGCAGGCAGCAGCTGGCCCCAGCCCTGGGTTACTCCACTTCCTGGAGATTATGGCTAGCAGACAGCTCCCCAGGAAGATGTGAAGTTGAGCCCGGGCAAACTGCTGCGCTAATGGGAGGCGTGCACAGTGAACAGGGTACTATTTTTCTTTCTTTCTCTCTTTTTTTTTTTTTTTGAGACGGAGTTTCATTCTTGTTACCCAGGCTGGAGTGCAATGGCGCGATCTCGGCTCACTGCAACCTCTGCCTCCTGGGTTCAGGCAATTCTCCTGCCTCAACCTCCTGAGTAGCTGGGATTACAGGCACGCGCCACCATGCCCAGCTAATGTTTTGTATTTTTAGTAGAGACGGGGTTTCACCATGTTGACCAGGATGGTCTCGATCTCTTGACCTCGTGATCCACCCGCCTCGGCCTCCCAAAGTGCTGGGATTACAGGCTTGAGCCACCGCGCCCGGCTTTTTTTTTTTTTTTTGAGACAGAATCTTGCTCTGCCTCCCAGGCTGGAGTGCAGTGGCGCCATCTCAGTTCACTGGAACCTCCGCCTCCTGGGTTCAAGCAATTCTGATGTCTCAGCCTCCCGAGTAGCTGGCACTATAGGCGTGTGCCACCATGCCTGGCTAATCTTTGTATTTTGAGTAGAGATGAGGTTTCACTATGTTGGCCAGGCTGGTCTTGAACTCCTGATCTCGGGTGTTCTGTCCACCTCGGCCTCCCAAAGTGCTGGGATCATGGTTGTGAGCCACTGCACCCCATCTGGGGTACTATTTTAAAATAGCATGAGGGTTTTGCCTCTGGGAACACCTGAGTTAGCATCATGCCGTGTGGGCTTGTGGTGCCCATTGGAAACGTGCTCTGTGCAGCAAAGAAGGATAGCACTCAGGCAAAAAGTTTTCTCAGCAAGGCAGTTGCAGAAGGGTGCTACCTGCGTCACTTATGATCACAAGACAAGGGAAGGAAGGGGTTTTTATCTCTAACCCATTTAGTTCTTGCTTCTTTGTTCTGTCCCTATTGGCTGGAGTCCAACTGCACAATCTAAGGTGACCTGATTGACTACTGTTTAAAATTGAATATGGCTAATTAGTCGGGAAGGGCTTGTGTCTCAGACCCTTTCAAGTGCTAAATGCACTTACATTTATAATTGAGGTCTGAGTGTGGGCTTGTG